ATGACATGTACCAAATATGGGTGAAATCGGTTCACAACCACGCCTGAAATCTCGATTATCACTTTATCATGCGAGAGTATAAAATGTTCGGTGACATCCGAACTTAGCCCTTCCTTACTTGTTAAAATTGTGTTATATGGGTAGTAGGTTGTGGTTATAGTCCGAGTTCGTCCAATATCGCACTGTGACATAGGAATATGAGAAAAATGCTATGCGGTAGGTCGGGTCCAGAGACATGTGTTTTCACCTAAAAATGTGCGGCACTACGTTCATCGTCCCTTTCAGACCCGGGCTCCATTAAAGTACTGTCATACGAACTCGGTGGTAAAATTTAATGTCTCTGGCGTAATTAGGTATTGATTTTTCGCGCTTTGAGTAGGATTGAGCAGTACCGATATATGGAGAGTGAGCGGGGTTATGTTCCGATTTCATTCATTGCACTCTGTCGGTAGGAGTTCATATGACTTGTTGTTACTTTAGTGATTTAGGCGATATGTTCTTATCACAGGGCGCGCCACCCCCACTTTTTCAAAATTTGTTAAGAAGCTCTTGCTGATGCGATCCCCTTTTCCAAATTACAGTTTTATATCTTCATTTTGTGCGTAGTTATGCCACTTTATATGCTTTCGGTTGATGGCGATTTGTGGGCGTGGCATTGTTCCGATCACGCCCATCTACGAACTCGAAATCTTTTACTAAGAAACCCGCCTACCAAGTTTAATCAAGATATCTTAATTTTTACTCAAGTTACAGCTTGCACGAACGGACGGAAGGACGTAAGGTTGGAAGGACGGACAGACATACCGTCGACATACATACCCGGATTTCTACTCACCATTTATATTTGTGTATAGCTATCTCGCTTAGTTTTAGGTGATACCACCAACCGTTAGGTGAACAAAAATATTATACCATGTAGCAACATATTGCAAGAGTATAAAAATAATATTTGGGGTAAAATGTGTGGATTCTTGTTCTTGAAATAGTCATAGTTCTTGTTCTTAGATAACCGAAATGATATACGATGTCGCGTATATATCATTACTTGTCGAGTATTCCTTTTACCCGCTTACTCTTGGTTACTCGCCCGGAGTCTACCGAGAGCTGAAGGTGCAAACAACTAAACATACTCAATAAATTACTTTCAGTGAGAATTATGCGTTTACGAAGACTCTACAATACTTTTTAGAAAAGCAGGCATCAGAAAATCATTCAAGGTTTTTTGTTTTTACCAAAACACAAATCTTCTTTAGTTCCACAGAAACATTATAAACTTACTTGGAGTTGAAGTAGATATGTTCTTAAAACGAATGTTCTTACCTAAAAAGAAAGAAAGAAAAATATCATTAACATATTGACTTTCATTACTTATAAGTAAGATTTTAGAACGAATTTAAGATGCAATAAACAATCTGTAAAATAACCGCGTGGCTTTGCTTCAACTCTTCCAAAGCCCCGGGCACAAATAAGCGAGTTTAGTACTTCCATAAAAACGCGCAGCAAAACTGTAAACTTCACAAGTACTCCTCGTAAAACAAAGCATTAAACCGTAATTAACGCAACAGGTGACACGCCACGTGACATAGAACCGAGCAAAAGCCCACAGAGGCACAAATGGTCGGCGCCGCAACTTTTACTAACAACAATTAAACTAACAGCAACAAAAACACAAGTAATTAAACTGAGGCGGCCACATGTGTCTATTTTTACAACAAATTAAGTAGAAGCGAAATAATACGCAACCAACAACACCAATAGCTACACAAAGAGAAAACTATGAATATTTTTATGTGAATTTTATGCGAGCATTTGGAGAAAAAAGAAATCCATTCATTTGACATAATTATGCGAAAGTAAACTAAATGGGCATAAATGGCAACGAGAATAAAAACAAACAACAAATGAATAGAGAACGCGAAGACGACAACAATGTTCGCTGAAAGCCAACAAAACGCTGTGGAAATCAAGCAAATTGATTATGAATAAAAGGCGCGATGATAAAAGCGCTCGTAAAGAGCTTAAATTGCGGCAAAAATAATAAGTAGAAGTCAAAGAAAATAACAACAAAAGAGAAAAGGAAAAAGTCAAAACAAACACAAGTAAACACGATGGCATTCTCATATTTTTCGCATTATTCACTAGCGTTAGAAAAATTTTCTATTTTTTTTTTTTCTTGTTTTTTTTTTTGCGCTTTTGTTAGCAGACTTGTTTGGCATGAAAATATTTGTGTTTTGTGTTTTGCGTTTGCAGGCAGCACTAACCCAGTGTAGTGTGAACAAACGAAGCTGATTTTGGCGTCGAAAGCGCAGATTTCGTGATACACGGCGCCACAGCCGCAGTGCGCATGCGCATGTATGGCGGCACGGCACTCCATTAATTGCATATGAAACTATCGGTAAGGCACTGAGACAACGGTGAAATGGTCTAATAGCAGTGATTTAAGACCGCAAGCGTCGGAAACATACAACAACAAAATGGATTTGAAATGTCGCTGCTCGCTGTGCGGCTGAGTGTGAAAGGCAGCCATAAAATCAAGTAAATATTCAAAAATTAAATAGTAATTAGTCAGCATTAATTACTAGAAAAGAATGATTTTCAGCATTTTCGTGAGAAAATTAGAGGAAGGCAATACGAGAGGGGAATAACAGATCGCTTAATTACACAAATAGTTTAGTTGCAATGACACGCCAATAGAAAGCGGAGCGAGTCAGCAGACGTGGTTCCACTAATTCTATTTACGGTTATAGAAATTTTAACTTAAAGTCGATTAGTGTACACAAAACCGATCAGCGTGTACGGCAGAATGCCTAGTTAAACTAGTGAAAACGTTATTTTAGTTGCTAGGAAAAGATAGAAGAAACAAGTGACTTTAGAGTGTAAAGTCAATAACATCACCCGAACCTCCAAAAAATATGGAGTTTTCTATAAATCTCAACAAAGCTGCACGCAATGTCGCTGTTCCGTTATCTTCTTCTGCTTTCTTTATTGGCGTAGACACCATTTACGCTGTTAGAACATAATTAACAGCACACCCGACGTTCTTCCTCTCCGCTGTTTGGCGCCAATTAGAGATATGTACCAAATGTAGCCTGCTCTTTCCCTATCCGGTCCTTCCATCGGAGTGGGGCTTCCTCTGCTCTGCCGGCGAGTAGTTCGTCGAATACTCTCAGAGCTGGAGTGTTTCATCCAGTTAACTCTCTTAATTCGCTGTGCTATGTCAATGTCGTCGTATATCTCGTACAGCTCATCGCACTATTGACTGCTGTATTCGCCGTAGCCAATGCGCAGAGGCCCACAAATCTTCCGCATAACCCTGTTCTCGAAAATTGTCATCGTTCGTACATCGGCACCATACAGCAGGATGATAAGCCCGACGACTGGAATTTAAGAGTGCCCTGCCCAATATACAAAAACGAGACCCCACAATCTGGGCCAACTACCGTGGGATAAGCCTCCTCAACATCGCATATAAGATTCTATCGTCGGTACTGTATTAAAGATTAAAGCCCACCGTCAACAAACTGATTGGACCTTGTCAGTTTGACTTCAGGTCTGGAAAATCAACAACTGACCAGACATTCACCATGTGCCAAATCTTGGAAAAGATCAGTGAAAAGWGGATCGACACACATCACCTCTTCTTCCTTGAGGGATACCAAAAGCTCCATTCGAGTCGGGAAGGACCTCTCCAAGACGTTTGATACCAAATGAGGTTTCAGAAAAAGCGACTCCCTATCGTGTGACTTCTTCATCCTACTTCTGGAAAAAAAAATTCTAGCTGCAGAGCCGTGCTTTCTTTGATTAATGATTTTTCAGAGAACATCAAACTTCTAAAAATAACAATAAAAAGTATACAGCAAGCTTACTAATACATAATTATACAAAATCGATGATAAATTACAATGTAAAGAAAAAAATAAAAATAAATTATAAAAATAAATATTCAAGTGAAAAGATAAAAATAAACAAGAATATGACACAAAAATTTAATTTTAAAAGTCAAATGGCAAAACTGCCAACACACGACAACAACATCAATTACTCGTAAATAGCAGTACGGTGGGATAAGAAAAAATCAAATCGTGAATCATCGGCACTTAGCACCAAAACGCGTCAGAGCCACAGAGCTGCTGGGATTGCGGTCAGCAATTGAGTTACAGCTGGAAGAGCTGAGAAACGTAGAGGGCAGGGAAGAAAGAAATGATGTATACAGCTGTATTTTGCGACTGACATCATTGACAGTTGTTTTGTGTCGTCTTCGTATGAAAATGAAAATTAAAAGATTTTTACAAAAGTTTACAGAGAAAAAATAACCGATGGCGATGTAAACTCCAATGACCTCAAAGCGCAGACAATGCCAAGCAAGTGGTGACAAATGAAGTTCAATTTTGGCCAATTTTAAAATTTTCTTATTTTTGTTTTTCTTTGTTTTTCATTAATTTTTTTTTTTTTGTGTTTTAAAATTTTTTTTTGTTGTTTTTTAAACTTTTTGTTGTCGTTTTTGAATTTTTTGTTTTTGAATTTTTTTTTTGTTGTTTTATATTTTTGTTGCATATATTTTTTGAACAACTTTTCTTAATGGAAACTTCCGACTGGCGTCTGACATAAATATATTTAACTTGTGCGCGGTGTGGCCACTTTTTTGGAGACTGCCATATTTTTAGCTCGGATACACGCGCTGTGATCGCTCGCCTCGCGCTGGACCGTGAGTGATGAGCGCGAGTGTTCATGAACTTGAAAACACACACAACCTCACACATAAATGCATATGTATGAATTCGTGTGTTTACTCAGAAAAATATTGTACACAACAACAACAACTACATAAAGCATGAACATAGTGAAAGTAAACCAGCGATATTAGAGCTCATTCGTGAAAATGCTTACTGAATTATTAGAATTTCGAAACTTTTTCAAACTTTAAAGAATTTTCCAACCGATTTTAGACTTTTGCATCAGCGAACTGGAATCCCCGCTGCGCGTGCCAATAATTTTGGCATTTATTTCTTGGAGCATTCGGGCATGGCAGCGGCGGCGGGCTGGCGCAGCTGAACTAAAGATCATAGAAAAATATATTGTGTACACAAAAATAAAAACAATAACTGTAGACTGCTTTGTCTTATTGCCAAATGTATAAAATTTAATAATTCTATTTCATCAAACGTTATTTGGCATTTCGTAAAACAAAATGTTGGCTTTGTTTTTCTGCTTGCAGTCAGAAGAGATTTCAGCTGATTTTCCTTTGAAATTATTTAATACATATTTTTATGATTTCGCAAGTTTATGACGGCAATGTCGCAACTAACGGCAAAATATAATTTATGTTCGTGGTTTTCACCAACACAAATGCACTTTACACACACACACACAACATGAATAGCTTTTGCTGATTCGCTTTTGCGTTGGAATTTCGTTGGCAAATGGAGAGTAAAGAGAATGCGAAATGCGAAAAAACGAGGCTAAAATTATTTCAAATATTTGCACACTGCTGTACTTACAGCCGGGATAAAATTAAATTACGCTCCAAGTGAAATGCCGCTTATGGAAAGGCCAACGGCGCTTTGTGGCGCGGGAAACTTTCGGCGCGTCGAGCAGCAAAAGGAAATTATAGCAGCATTGCACAACCGCCGAAACAAAGGAAGATACTCACATATGAGTGAGTAGGAGCGGGATTACAAGGTACAGCAGTAATCAATGTAAAACCTGTATGTGTAACCCCGTGTACCGCTCATAAACTTCAATTGCTGTCAATTATTGGCGCGACGGGTCCATTAGAGCACGAGGTGACCGAAACAGTAGGCTCTACACAGCTGATGAGCACCTACTCACTTCTGTATATACATATACATATGTGTGCGTGTGTGAAAATGGTTAGACAATATATGCTCAAAGGAAAAATTGGATAAAGTGGCAAACCGGTTTCGGTTACATTGCGGAAAATTGTAATGGATACCTAATTCATACAGATACATATGTATATACATATATATATACTCTATATGTATATATGTACATCCATCCATAATGTATTTGGCAAAATAGTCGCACCAACTAAACTGGTGTGATTATAAAACAAGGCAAAACATGGTCATTTGCTCCAAAGACAATTTAACTCAAGCAACAACAAACAAAGCCAAAACATTAGTCACACTTCGTCATGATTTTGTGCGAGTGTAATCGGCTGTGGCGCGCGGAGCAGACGCGACTAGCAGATAGTACATAGACATGACTTGACTTGCTTAGGTGCCGTTTGATGTGAGACGACGACGACAGTTATTCGTAACTTGACTTGTGTGGCGATCATCGATGACTCAATGATT